TGAAATTAGGGTGCAGATTTGCATCCACCTACGCGTATTTGGCAGTGGGTGCTGCTATTGTAGCAGAGTTGTACCTTTATTTCTTAGTGTGTAGAACAAATGAAGTACATGTTTTTTGTATTCGACACAAACAAGTTATCTTCTAATACCAACTGACAAGCAAAAATAATCAGAAAAAATGTAATCACCTCAAAAGGGACCATTAGACCTAAAAGGCACCTAAAGAATTGGATAACTATTTCCTTGCTTGCTCGTCATATTTCTTTCTCGGTATGGACCACTTGAGTGTTGGTCAATACTCACATTAGCGAACGAAACTATGATCTAAACATAAAAAACATACAATAAATGTCTAAGAATGCATCATTGAAGATATAAATCCGAAATATTACATTAGAGTGAATTTATATGCAAAAAACCTGTTCGACTGCAAATGATTTTATTTATCAAAAATTTTACTTTCGAGGCGTGTTCAGTGTAATTGTATAGCGCCACCTCTCGGTCAAGCGGCAGCACACCGTGAATTTTCGCCAAGACGACGATCGGATATGGGCGTGCAAGTAATATCCGAACCATGTCTATAGCGCGCTGACTGATTTATATTGTACACATTATGGTATGCGAGGCCTGCACATAATTGCATGGTCTGTGGTACTGGTAGCGCTATTGTTTTTGAGCGCGATATGCGAATACTGTATGTGTATGTAGTGCGAGTACGCTCGACCTAGTAGTAGTGTATGTGTATGTATTGTACGTCGTATGACCCAGTTGAAAGAAAGTGGCTTACTCTATCTATCAACCAATATGTGAGACAACGCAAGGGCAATTTTGTATTTCGTGTGTAGGAACAAAGCTGTGGAATGATCTCCCAGATGAAATTAGATTAAAAACATCGAGGTTATCTGTCCACCTACCTTCTATGTAAATGACGTGGGCCTTCGTTTTTCCTTTTATATTACTTGTCTTCCTTTTATATGTGAAGAGTTTCATTCCAAAAGGAGCCAAATCCACTTTGGGTACTTCTGAGTAAATTGCCTTTTTTATTTCTCCACTTTCCCTTTAGCCATGTATACCTTCATGTTGTTATTTATGTTAAAGGTGTCACCCTGCATGGACCTGATTATCTGCCAAGAAAAAATCTTCCCTTCGGCTTTTCTGATGTTTACTAAATTTTTAGATTTTTTATTTTCGTGGATTTAGCTCCTTTTGGAATGAAACATGTTATTGTACCTAAAAAAATAAAAAAATAAATCATATTTTCTCAATAAAGTCACTGAAATTTTATTCAAATTTAGCAGCAAACCTTTCCTTTTAAATAATAATAGTGAAATCACACATAAATATAACCTTTCGAAAAGAAAGTAAACAACATTATTACAGTTTCATTCCAAAAGGAGCTAAATCCATTCAATTCCAAAAGAAGCTAAATCCATGTTTCATTCAAAAAGGAATTACTAAATCCACATTTTTTTTTTGGCACATATCGCACGACAACCAAATGCCCTAAGATGTTGATACCCACTTTGATAGAAAAATAAGGTTTTACAAAATGGAAAAATACTAGAAGAGAAAAGGTAAGAAAGAGTAAAGACGGATTGAGGACGGTAAACCCCAAACAAGAGACTCCAAAGATCTACCCCAGAATCCTCTCACCGGCACCAGAGTTGCCTAGGCCAATGATGGCCGAGAAGATTGCGCAATGTACCGCGCCGGTCTGGCAGGAAGGTGCCAATTGCGGTGAGGGGTTTTCATGGACCAGTAGATCTGAGATTATATTATCCAAAAAAAAGAGATGAATATGAATTGACAAATAGTACCAAAAATAGAAGAAAAAAAAAGAAATAAAGTGAAAGGCGTAAATATTCTAAAAAAGAATGAAACGCCGATAATACCAAACAACAACAACAACAACACAAAATCTAAAAATTTGATAGAAATCAGAAATAACTGGTGGATTTTTTGTCTTATCATATGTTATAGGTCCAGAGCGACACCTTTAACATATATAACAACATGAAGGTACATGGCTAAAGGGAAAGTGGAGAAATAAAAAGAAATAAATTTAAAAAAATATTAAAAATTGTTGTATCAGTATACTATAATGAATAACAGTAGTGAATTAATTTAACATCTTACTTGATTCATACTTGTCCATAATGCAGTGTTTTTCAGTATTCTTATTTTGGTACTGCATGCAATTGTAAAGTTTAAAAAAAAAGTGATTGTAACTTCTTGTAAATAAGTTGTGTTCTACAGTGCCTGTGTATTGCATGACCTACGTCAGTACGTGATAACTTGTAAATGTGTAAAGACATAAGATTTTAATATAATTATAGTAATGCTAAAATGAAGATACATAACATATTTTTATGGTGTACATTGAAAGCTTTATTCGGCCATAACTAACAGTTAAATTTACACAACATTATTCAGATGAATACAAATTATACTTGCTGTACTGAAGGCAATATTTAAACGTGATGTTGATTCCAACCATTGCATACAAACAGATCATGTGTATTAAAAAAGGCACATTTTTATTTAGCATCTATCGCTATGACAACTTTAACCGTCGTCATTAAGAAGGAGCAATATACTTTATTTGTATACCACCATGTCTTGTTACTTATTAGTTACTGCTTATTTATATACATCTTATCTTGTGTCTTTCATAAAAACTTGACATTCTCTATAGGCAATGTGTAGATAAGTTTACCAAAGAAAAGTATCTATAACAGTAATGTTTCTACGCGCTTGACAAATATACTATTACCCCGGTCATTTGATTCAGTGCTTGCCCGCACACAATGTTTTGACTAGTACGTGATCATACAAATTTTGCCGAGAAACTGCCTACTAATTGATATATTTGGTAAATTATTATATCTATTTGGACTTGATAGATATAACGCATGTGTCGCGCACTTGTGCGTAGTCCCATATACATCTTTCTGTGTACAGTGCTTGTAACTTTACCAAGACTGGGCCAATCTTTTTATCATTTCGATGATTCTAGAACCTTGCAGTACACACCAAGACGTATATGCTAGATGATCAACCTTTTCTGATCGATTCCACAACAATCCTTTCACAATGCAGTCGCATGACCATAACTGGTTTTATCTTTTAAGTTTCACATCTTACTTTATATATAAATGCTTTAAAAATTGTCTGAGTGATTCTTTTCCTTAATGTGTACGAGTATACATGTATACATACTCTATATCGATCTCAAATCCTGAATCATATCAGTTTCAGCACAAAATTAAGTATAGTTAGGTACATATATGTCTTTCATCTTCCCTAATGCTCGACTATGAATATCACCTCAAGTGATTAACATCCAACATAAGGTTTTTCAAAAAAATAGCACAGACATTTCAAAACTGGTCATGTCCTATACGCACACAAAAGACAATTCTGCGTTGTGTGTACTGAGTTTCATATGAATCGATCAAACTACTTCCAATAGTTTGCTCACATACTTATTTTACACACTGCACATGCATCGAGTTTTATACTGTTATTATAATGCCTCATCAAAGATACCAAAACTATAAAATTGCTAAAACTTGGAAAGAATATGCTCCACAAGATTATTAAAACAAAATTGTATTCTTTGTGCAAAGCTTGGTTACCATGGAGGTACCTTAACAGACAGACACAACAAATGTGTCTTGCACACCCTCGGGTCAATCGGTATACCAAGTTTTATTACAATTTGCGTAAAAATTGGAAAAAATTTGACCCAGTTTTTTACAATAGACCAACAGAAAGACTCGCCTGCCCAACTGTATCCTTATTCCTTTATACACCCTTTCAAACTACAAAGTAGTTACAGGCAGCATATCTCTTGATGGTATAACCTTGAACCGCAATACTTTGGCGTTGAGCTGATTCACGTTCATTGATTCAAATGATGCATGAAACCAACTGTTTTGCTGTCTTGTGATCATTTCTCTTTTTCGCTTGCATTATTTTAGTCACATTGATTGCATTAAACAAAAAATGAAGACTATTTACAATAAGATATTCTACAAATCTTTCTTCTGTCCATGTTGATTTTCAACAGGTTCCGAAGTATAGTCTTTTTCATGATCGACTGTCACCTCAGTTACATGCACAGTCACTAAAACCAAACACATTGTTGACTCATGGTTTGACCTCTTGGCTGTAAATTTTATAATTACTACTGTAACTTCTTCAAGGAATATAGGTTGCCAAATAGATACAAATTGAAATATCCACCATTTCCACATGAGCAAGCACTGATTTTATCACAAATTATGAATTGTATAAATCACATAGAGCTTTTATACACTGATGTCACAATTTGTCTTTTATATTCCTACATTTCTTCCATTTGTAAACTTGCCAACCTCTTATTGTAATACAATATACAAGTGCCAAGCATGGTCGCTAATCTAGCAACAATAACAATTTATTTCTGGTACATGTATATCATGCGTTATGTGACTTTTTTTTAATACTGATAGATAACCACATCCCCATGATCCCCAGGGACACTCTAGTATCAAGTTTGGTGGTATTTTGTCAAAGGGTCTCTGACATATCAAGAATACATGCTCGTAATGCTAAGCCATGCAATCTTTCACCTCCGGACCACAAAATCATTAGCAACCAAATGAGTCCAAAATGTTAAGTTCCAACCAATCCTCAAGATAGCCTAAAAACATGCCACATGGACAAATTAAATCGAGGCGATTAAGAGTCTTGCATGCAATCATGCAATCATGCAACAATGAACCTCATTTGACCTTTGACCTACTTATGTGACCTTCAACTCCAGAATATCATGGAGGCCAATAAAGGGCATCTACATGTACCAATCAAGTATGGTTACAAACAGATGCAGGGTTGGAAAGTTAGCAACCCTAATTGATTTTTGCAGGTAAGATTTCACATTAGACTTCATTCAAATTTGTGTACAGTCACGGAGGATGGACGGAAGGACGCCATTTGGATTAGGCCTAATTTGGATCCCTTAGTCTCTGCTCGAAAAAAAGCAGTTCTCAAGTCAGACAATCCCAATTGTTCACTACAGAGGATTACATGGATTTCTCTAATCGGCCTAGTCTCCTGGCTAGGATCACATCAACTTGTGGTGGAGGAAATGGTGCAAGCCGGGGCCTTGTGTGTCTAGGGTCATCAGGGAGCAGAACAGCCTTCGAGAACAGTGGTCCTTGGTCCTGTTCTCTGCGTTCCAGTATCGCACCGATGAGTCCTTGTACATACATGTAGGGGTAGGTCTTGGGGACCTTCTCCTTCCGGGCCACGTAGTTGTTGGCACGCTTTGACCATACTGCAACATATCTGTATCATAAAATAAAAGAACATGCAAAATGTAACAAGTTGCATTATATGCACACTCATTCTTGTCAATTGGAAATGATTCATATCTCTTAAAGATAAACTTGAGTTCTGGTAAAAAAAGAAAATGAATTCTCACAGAATCTAACGAAACTTACACTGAATGTTCAAGATTACAAATAAATGTCATGTGCCAAACAATTTTGGAAGAAAATGTATACTGGCTGAGTAATGAGCATAGAAAGATAAGGAAATCAGGGTAGTACTAGCCCCGACAGGCCGACACCATGTGTGTTGTCCCATATACATCTTTCTGTGTAAGTGATTGTTACTTTACCAAAACTCTGCCAAATTTATGATGATTTTGATGACTCCAGAACCTTGCATTACACACCAAGTATATTATTACACTGAATCCAAGTCCGCATTTAGGGTCCAAAATCAGCAGCATGATTGACAAACCATCAGCTTACAGTCCGTCATCTACATAATTTAGATGTGCGTCGTGTACAGGGACAACTTCTTTAGATGACGTCATATTTTGGCGATTTAAAAGGGGCGTTCCCAGGAAGGACAATTAGATATTTAATAATTTCCCCAAAATTGATAAATTTCATGGGAAAGAACTGCCAATTCGGATTGCCCTGTCCAACTACACAGGGAAAACAAAAAATCATGTTTTTTTTTTTACTCCACCCACTTTGGATTGCCTTTTCCATCTAAAAAAAAATGTACAAATAAAAATAGGAAAAACAAGAAAGAAAAGAAAACCTTTTTTTCTTTCTTTCTAATTTCCACTCACTTTGTATTGCCTTGTTCATCAATCTGGTCGGGCCTGTCCTTGTGTGCCATGTAGTCGATGACCGCAAGCAAATTCCTTGCCCGGTTTGCTGGGTAGCTGGATGGATAAGACAAACAATTGGTATTACCACTACCATGATGAATGAATAGTAAATGCTTTAGACAAATCTCAGACTCATTGGCCCGTAGTCACAAAGGAGGTTTGTAGGAGGTTTGTACAAACCATGGTTTGACGATGGTTTACATCTATGGAATGCTGTTCGCATACCGTAAATTGTAAATTAACATTGTTAACAAGTATGGAGTTTACATTCCTTCTCCATCAGTTTACAAATGGCATTCCATAGATGTAAACCTTGGCCAAACCATGGTTTGTACAAACCTCCTTTGTGAATACGAGCCATTCACTTCAGTTCTGGATTTGTGTTGTAAATTATTGACTCTTAATTAAAGGTAGTTACATTTCCCTGCTACAACCACTCCAACTTGACTTAACATCAGGTACCGACACAAGTACGATACAAAGTCTGCTGTTTCAAGACTCTGCATGCATCCAAAAGTGATTTCAGCATTTATATAGATGTCATTCATAATTTCTCATTAACTTTGCTATTTGCTTCAAAATATGATATTGTAACTGTAACCGTACTGTAATGATATGTTTCAACTTTTCCACAGACAATCTTACTTCAAACATACAAAATGATACTAAAAATACTTACTCAAAGGAATACCGCTTGGAAGCATACATCAGTATATGGTTGTGGAAACACTCGAGCATGCTGGTGTGCCTAAGGAATTATGAAAACAAAATAAAAACTGATATAAATGATAGGGCATTTCATTATTTTCATACCACAAAATCAATATTGAAAATCCCATGTCATACACATGAGCAAATAAGATGCATTATCTTGACCTGCTGATATGTCCCAATTTTATAGGTCATAACCGAAAAAGAGCTCAATCTTGCAAACATGTACGTAATGAACGCATTCTCATTAAATTCCTCTCAATTTACAGAGCCTTTCGTACATGTATACAGAATCCTACCTGAAGCGAGCAAATCAGCAGAGTAGGCCAAGTTCTCCATGAATTTGCGGTCAAAGGTGACTTGTACTACCGTATTCACCTGCTAATTCCCCTACTGCTGCTTGGAATTTCTTCGCTGGGGATGGATTGTGTTGTCTGTTCTTCATATCTGTAAAAAGTGAAGAAATGAAAGTCATTCACAAAGTAAAAAACATTCAGATTTTAAATCACCAAAAGAAATTATTTTGAAGATGGCATTCTCTAATAATTATCACAGCTAGCCAGATTTGGAATTTGCATGACTAATAACTGATGCATTGGTTCTCTGTCATGTATGTGAAGTTGAGACACTCTTTGGTAGAGATAAATATAGATGAGACAGTCACATCTCAAGCAAGCTATAGTATAACCTTGTCGACTTTTAAAAAGAGCAGGATGTTTACCCGGTTGACTAGCCCTGCACGTCATCATTACGAAGAAAACTGCAGTTGTAACGAGGGACATTAAAGGTAGGGTCTATTACAAAGTTTTGGGAAATTTTGAAAATTGGGTGGATAGTGATTCTTTACAATTTTGATATATTTGGATGCCCCTGTGGAAGTATTATAAGCACTAGAAAATTTAGCTCCTAAAACACTTCTGCTTTCGAAAAAAATTGAATATAAAAATTTACCGGTGCTCCCGGTAAATTTTGATAAATTTAAAATAGCGCCTACGGTCGTACAACGGTAGCTGCTACCATAAAAATCCCGGAATATGTAGTTGTGATATATAATTTCAAAAAGGTAATAGCCAATCGGTCAATTGTAGCTTGTTGTATAGGTGAATTAATATATTGACCTTGAGAGAGAGTTATAGTATACCCCATAAAGAGATTATTATTTACAATTTCATCACTTTAGACTCGATTTCAACGCGACAACGTTCACTGAATATTGTAGGATCGCATATGCTTCCAATATTTTCATTTGAACCAAATTCATCCGGAGGTCTAGTGGAGCCAGACGTAGTCTCAGTGGAACAACCGACGATATAGAGACTGAAGCTTTCGGTCTACTGTAGACCTAGGCTAGACTATCAATATCATATGATTCATGAAATCTGAATTAAAAATCCAAGGCAAGAGATAACAAAACGTAATTTCTTAAATTTGCCGATTCCATGCATCTAGTCTCTAGACTAGATCAAATTAAAACGGTAGGCCTACCCAATGCAGTGGGGCGTATATCATTTCAACTTACCTCTCAGTGAGCTGGCATAGCCATAGGGTCTATTGCATCCTCTAGACTCGGCAACGAGAAGGCCGCCTGCAGCTCGCGAAGTTTCTCCGCCGTACCCTGTCCTTGTTCACAGCCACTCCCGCGCCTCCTCTGGGCCGGATGGTCGAGCTGCCATTGCTTGTTTCTCTCCTTCCTCTTACCGTCTTACTTAGTCTTATTCCGATTTAGCGTAGCCTTAGCCTTGTCCTTAGGCTTAGCACTAGCTGAGTCCGAGTCGGCCATCGTCCGTGACCTCGAGCTCCTTTTCCAATCTCCATCTCGTTATCGTATTTCAATCAAAGCTTGTCTGTAGCTGTCTAGCGTTCGATCGGTGCCGGTGATAATATCTGATCTGAGCTGTGCGTGTTATACTTTACGTGAAAGCAGCGTATTGGAATTGATCAGCTGTACTGTATTACTAACGCGCGGTCGGATACCCGCCTGCTAGCTACCTGTACTGTACGTACCAACGAACTCAAACACTCGTTGTAAATACGCTGGTTGTTAAATGACATAGAGGGAGCTAAACACGTAAATTCAAAAAATAAACCGTCGAAAGTCAAAAGTGATGTCCGGACGTCAAACACTTTTTATAATGTTTTGAAAGCAAATTGCACAACAATTAGAGCATTTGATTTGGAATTATTATCATCTCCCATGTTTTTTTCGATGATCTTTCATATGGTACTGAAATAAACCAAATCTGTTTTGGAGGGGCACTTTGGAAATTACCAATACTCAACTATACCTTTAACTAAATTATGCATAGGCCTCACAGCAGGTTAAACGGGGAATCCCCACCAATACAAGGACGTTACCAACTTCCCCAAACATTGTAATACAATGCGACACAAGTCTTCATGCGTGAATGACTATTGATTTAATAAGTGTTGAACTCCCTTACTGAGCAAGAGTAGTTGCTGGCATTCAGTGACCTACATATTAATTGCACAACATACTGTAGACTTCGTGTATTGTTATTCATTAATTTATATTTAAACAGCAAAATTATACTTCAAGAAGTCGACCGCTCTCCCCGGAACCTTAAACTTACTATAAAGTAGAACATGAATAGGTAATATGCAGAACATTTTACCAATTCATGTTCTACTTTATAGTAAGTTTAAGGTTCCGGGGAGGGGGGCGACCATCAAAGAGGAGGAATTGCCGAATCCGCCGTCAATTCGGACTTGGTCGAACGCAGGATTTATCTGATTCTTCTAACTTTGCTTCTGAAAATAAAAAACGCGTGAGAAGGACGTTGAAAATAGATGAGGAGGAGAGTGTTTCTAGGAAAGAGAATTTTGGAAGGGATCGAGTTAAAGTGAAAACGGCAGTACCCCCACCAAGCATGCAAACGGGAAGAAGAAAGTTTTACTCCGATGGGCACCGCAAGACAAATGTTCCTGGTGGAATTAGCCTCCGAGAGGGACACATATATGGAGAACAAAATGATGAAATCGCTGTTGCTTATCATGAGAATTCTGAACGTCATCATATCAAATTGGCCACAAATTGCACTACATCGTACAACTTTCACACCAACGAGACCTACATCAGACCGACAATTGAAGGAACAGAATATTACATTGGTTCGAGTGACCAAGAATATGTTGGTTTGGAATCGGATCGGAGTCCAGTTGGTGGTGTAACCAATGTTCAACAGGGGAGCAATGCTGGCTCAACTAATGAACTAAATCTGATAGAATCATCAAGTACCAACTCCAGGATGGGACATACATCTCTGCGTAAGATCACTTCATATGCATTTTCCTGTCACACCATTACTGACGCTGATAGAGCTGTAGCCACAGACAACACTGTATCAAGTCGGTATGCACAGCCGAGCAGATCTTTCTCCAAATCCGCTTTGAAGCTACACGTCAATGAAATCACTACTGACAATTCGTCAGCCCAAATAAGTTCTCATCTTGTAGATTGTGATGCAGCTGAAGGAGGGGATTCTAATCACTCTGACATCATCACGTCCGAAGAAGACTGTACAGATGACGTCGTATTCGTCTTTGAAGGTAAGGCCCAAACGATTCTGAGAGAGAGTATTGAAAGAGAGATACAACAACGAGATAAAACAAAACAGAATAAAAGCAAAAAACGTCTTTACATCAGCACTTGTAAAACATGACGGCGCAGGTACTCTCTTCGTCTTTAAACTTAAAGGTAGATGGATGTCTAGTTTAGATTCCGGAGATTAAAAATAATATATATGTGCAAAAGAGTCACCATGAGGTGATTCCGTATAGTAAGAAAAAAACATATATTTACCAAAAAGAAATTAGTATCATCGGGTAATATCCGTTATAATTATTATTATTTTATTCAGTAACTTTCCTGCTAAGTTTCATACCAGTTGTCATATGTATGCATCTATTGTAATGGTAATGCCTATTTTTTTCTATCCTCTTCTTGCTCATACATCCAGCGCTAAAACAATTTGACCTAAGCATGTTCGAATCTTCAGGGTCTGTGAAAACCGTACCGAAGAGCTTGAAAGAAATAGCGAGGACATGTTCTACGCCAAAAGTATTTAGTCTTCCGAAATATACGCAGAATGACATCATCGCGATCGAGAGAGAAACGAGAGGAAAAGAAGACAATCCGAAATGGATCGAGTTTCGCATTGGATGTATCGAGGCGGAGAATTTCAAAGCTGTAGCACGAGGAAAAACCAGACTTTCCAAGGGAATCCTATACGGTTCGATGGAGCAACGAGGGAACTCATCAATGATGTTATGAATTACACCAAGAAGCCTACCTCGTCCCGTAATGATGCGGCAGACTATGAGATGATACACATAGCAAAGCAATTGTACAACGAAGATCACAAACGCCGATGCCACAGTCCTCTGGACGTCAGTGAATGTGGTTTACACATTCATCCAGAAATGATTTTCATCGGGGCTTCGCCAAGTGCGCAAGTGAGCTGCAAGGAGTGTGGCGATGGTCTTCTTCAAATCAATTGTTCTAAAGTTTGGAAGAAACCAACGCATCAGAACACTGAATACCTTATTAAAGCAAGACGTGGTAAGGACGAGCTCAAGATGACCCATGCTGTCTACACTCAAATCCAGACACAACTGGTTGTGACGGGACGAACTTGGTGTGATTTCTCCAGCTGTACTAAAGCTGGTCATTTCCGACAGAGAGTAATATTGAGCGATACGAATACCTTTCAATGGCAGGGATTTGCAGCAAATGTCAAGGATTTCTTCCTCACACATGTAGTCCCAGAACTAGTAACAGGGGGTATTGCCCAAAGCATTCTTAATAGCAATCCGACGTCTTCAACAAGTTACCCCCTACCTGTTTCTTCAGCTGCGACGTGTTCAACGTTTGAGTGTGTGCCAAACAATTATAGTTCGGACACAGACAGTTCAGTACAACCATCAGCTTGTTTCACAAGCACAAGTACAGCAGAGCCACAGGTAGCCTTTGAGGATAAGTCGAATGGTGAGGTACTACCTGACAGTCTGAGTAAAAGAGCGAGACGATGCAAATCTACTGATGAGGCTTTTTCGTTACCAAGGTATGATCAAGAAGATATCGACACAATCGAAGCGAAGACGAGAGGCCAGAGTGATAATCAGCTGTGGTTTGATTGTCGCATCGGTTGCATCAGCGCTTCGCGCTTTAAGGAGGTAGCGTCATGGAAAGGATCAAGACGTAATGATCCAAAGATACTTGTAAAAACAATAATGAAGTATGATGTTCTAAACCCAGATCTACCAAACCTCGTCTGGGGTCGGACCATAGAGCCAGTTGCAAGATACGTATACTTACAGGTTATGAAAAGCAAGGGCCACGAAGACATTAAGGTTATAGAATGCGGTATCTTTTTCCACCCAGAGAAGACTTTTATCGGTGCATCCCCAGATGGTCTTGTAAGTTGTAAGTCTGGTTGCAAGGCTTGCAAAAGAGAAGATGATAGATGTGGCATTTTAGAATCAAATGTCCTGTAAGTCTAAAGCCTGGTGAGACACCTGGACCTCGTAATACTGGATACATTAAAGAATCTGCACGTGATCGCAATGTACTCGGCAACCAACATACATACTATTATCAGGTCCAAACACAACTAGCAGTGACTGGACTTCCTTGGTGCGATTTCTTCGTCTATAATCATTACGACAAGAGCTTCATTCAAAGAATTAGACCACGTCCCCGACAGTTGAATTTCGATGCGATCCAAGCGGAGCAATTCTTCTGGAAGTACATCGTTCCTGAGCTCGTAGACAGGAAGCTCCAGAACCAGATGGCCAGGGCTCCAGTCGGTAATGACTCTACCGAAAGGTTCGAGTGGTAACTTCATAAACTTTGCTATAATTGTTATAGGGCCGCAATTTCTTAGCTTTTATCATTTGTAAATTTTAGGATATAGCTTTTCCTTTAAATTTCCCTTATAACTTGACATGATTTTAGTTAATGAAAGGAATGAAATATTATATGAATTTGATCACCCCCGTGTCACACAACTACCTGAACCTGACGAACTAGAAAAAAACTGCAGAGAGGTTGTGTCTTGTGGATTTAATTCACGGGACTATATATCAATCCTCACAAGGGACATGGTTCCAATTCCAGACCATAACTATTAGATATCCTTTGCCAAGTCGTAATATACATTGGACCCCATGGAAGAACAGGACCATTTTGAAAATGGTCCTAAAATGAGCTATCCAACCGTTTGTCTATACTTTACACATTTATTTACCTTCTTATCATTTGAAATTTGAAATAAAAACAAACCAACAAAACATTACCCACTCTCCACAACAAGGGCAACAATGTGTGGGTGGCTAATTAATCGCCATTAGTGTCACAGCGTGACGGATGTGAGTGCTATATCAAAAAAAGCCATTATCATCATCATTATTTGTATAAGTAGTAGAAGCAGTAGTAGCAGTAGTAGCAGTAGTAGTAGTAGTAGTAGTAGTAGTAGTAGTAGTACATTTTAATAGTATTAATAGTAGTAGTAGTAGTAGTAGTAGTAGTAGTAGTAGTAGTAGTGGTGGTAGTAGTAGTAGTAGTAGTAGTAGTAGTAGTAGTAGTAGTAGTAGTAGTAGAAGTAGTACTAGTAGTAGTAGTAGTAGTAGTAGTAGTAGTAGTAGTAGTAGTAGTAGTAGTAGTAGAAGTAAAAGTAGTAGTAGTAGTAGTAGTAGTAGTAGTAGTAGTAGTAGGATGATCAGTAATAGTTGTAGAATATGAGTTCCTAAGGTAAGACAAGATCATCATCAGTACCTGTGTTAAACCATCGTGCTTTCCAATCTCTTTCCTTAGGAATGCTCGACACAGATGGGTAAACTTGCCAGGTACTGAGGCCCCTTCTAGATCTACTCCACGAAGCAGAGCTATAGAGTTCAGGGATAGTAATAATCCTGATAATAGCGGGGTCTGCAATATAAGAAGTACAGATACTGAGGTGGTTACCCAGGGTAAATTCTTCTTCTTCTTCCTCTCCTTCTTCTTCTCCTTCTTCTTCTTCTTCTTCTTCTTCTCCTTCTTTTTCTTCTTCTCCTTCTTTTTCTTCTTCTTTTTTCTTCTATTTCTTCTTCTTCTTCTTCTTCTTCTTCTTCTTCTTCTTCTTCCTCTTTTTCTTCTTCTTTTTCTTCTTCTTCTTCTTCTTCTTCTTCTTCTTCTTCTTCTTCTTCTTCTTCTTCTTCTTCTGTTTCTGAGAGTGAAGGATATAGATGAGGAGAGAGAGACAGAGAGAAAGAGAGAGAGAGCGAGTCGAGAGGGGGAGGGAGAGAGAGTTATGGATATAGATGAGGAGAGGAAGAGAGAGATGACAGAGAGAAAGAGAGAGAAAGAGAAAGAGATACTGAGGGAGTGAGAGAGAGCGAGTCGAGGGGGAGAGGAGAAAGAGATAGATGGATGGAGAGAGGGAGAGAGAGAGAGAGAGAGAGAGAGAAAGCGAATCGAGAGGGGGAGGGAGAGAGAGAGAGTGAAGGATATAGATGAGGAGAGAGAGACAGAGAGAAAGAGAGAGAGAGAGAGAGTGAGTCAAGAGGGGAGTTAGAGAGAGCGAGTCGGGGGGGGGGAAGAAAGAGATAGATAGATGGAGAGAGGGAGAGAGAGAATGAGAGAGAGAGAGAGAGAGAGAGAGAAAGCGATTCGAGAGGGAAGGGAGAGAGAGTGATGGATATAGATGAGGAGAGGAAGAGAGAGATGACAGAGAGAAAGAGAGAGAGAAAGAGAAAGATATAGTGAGGGAGAGAGAGAGAGAGAGAGAGAGAGAGAGAGCGGGGGAGCGAATCGAGAGGGGGAGGGAGAAAGAACTATAGATATATGAAGAGAGGGGGGAGAGAGAGAGAGAGAGAGAGGAACAGAGAGAGAGAGAGAGAGGGAGAGAGAGAGGGGGAGATAGAGATACGGAGATAATGATGGGAGAGGCGGGGAGCAAGATATACCAGTGAGTTCCGTTTAAAAAAAAAATACGAATATCTCACCTTTTGTTGAAAACCAAGCACGCGAAACGGTATCCTTTACAGCATTTGTATTGCGGCATCGATCTAGTAAACTATTCTGAGGCGCAGAGGGAGATTATTACTCTGGCTTTGGAGAAAATGAAAGATTGCACTCTAGGATGTCATGTTTATTTTTTAGATGCATTATTACATTTGTCACGTCATTATCCAGTGAAGTAAAGGAGGGACTGTGCTGAAAACAATTAGACCGTGTAAAATCCTGTTTTGAATTCAGCTGAACAAAACCCGTCTTGAGCAAATAGCAAAGATGAGAACTTAAAATGCCTTTTCTTCGTATTCAGAGCATTTCACTGTATTTACTTCTGTTTCGTTTTTTCAAGCCCGTCTGCACTAGTTTGGCCAGGGGGATTACACCTCCCTTCAAGCCTCATCAGTATCACTGCTGTTCTTACAGAGGGCCGTGTATTTATCATTACCCCTGCAATTGCCAGGTACTCATTTACACCTGTTTGGAGACAAATTTGAATGAATGTCTTATCAAAGGGAAATGAGTGCCTAGCTGGAATTAGAACCCTCGACTCTTTGATTGAAAGGCAAGTGGATAAACCACTATACTACGACACATCCGATTAGCTCTGAACATTTACAATGTACTAGGACACCTACCCCCCTGGACAACCACCCCTATAGGATAACCACCCTCTAGGACAACTACACCCTAGGGCAAACACCCTCTAGGACGAATATCCCCATAGGACAACTACCCCCGGATAACTACCCCGGACAATCGACCCCTAGGACAACTTTCTCAGGACAACTACCCCCGGACAACTACCCCCAGACAACCACTCCCTACGACAACAATCCTCTAGGACAACTACCCCCAAACAACTATCCTAGGTGGTATTTTTCTGGAGGTAGTTGTCCGGGGAATAGTTGTCCAGGGGTAGTTGACCGGGGGAAGTTGTCCTAGGGGGTAGTTGTCCTAGAGGATGGTTATCCTATTTGTGGTTATCCTGGGGGTAGGTATCCGGATACTCATTTACACTACCCAACAGGAAGGGAACATCCCAATGAAAACACGAATAATCATGAGTTTTGTTTATATAATTATCTTTTACTTCTAGGCATGAACTTCAAGAATTCAGATATTACATTGAATAGTACTGAACACTTAGAGGGAGATATATACACTCTTAATGAATTTAATTCATTACTCGAGTTTTTTATAAAAAAATCGCAAATATACAATGTTAAAGTATTCAAGTCACTTGTTTGACCGTGTTATATTTCTGAAAACCTTAAAATCATGTACATCAGAATACCTAATAATACGAAAAACGAAACAATCATCAGAGTTTTTACAAAAACTGTCAATTTTCAAAATTTAGCCTAATGTCCTCTGATAAAATTGGTCATAGAAAAGGTGTAGCAACATTACTCTAATGAATTTTCAGAGGCATCGTATTATTAACTTGGAATGGTACGATACAACGTGCACTATCAATGAAGGAGTTCATTCATTAGAACATCAAGTTTAATAGTCCCAAAAATCATTTTCGAGATTTGGCAAAGAATTATTGTAAAGAAAGGTAATAAAGGTGACGACGTTTACTCAATTAAATTTCAAAGGTACATGTACCTTCTATCGATCCCAAAACAAAGATATTTGCAAAATGGTCGCCAATGATTAAACCACTTAATGGACTAACAGCTCCGTAGACAAGAAGGGCATTTATCTCTAAGCGAAATACTACCATTTTCACTGATACAAGTAGAAATTTGTATTGTTGGAATTATACTCCATACTAATATATGTGTATTGCATATTCTACGTATAATAAGAAAACAACTTCACTGATTTACATCTACGCTGAACAAAAATGTTCTATTTGTTTTTGTTTTTGTATTGATCCAATACCATTTTTACATTCAACATAAACATGATACAACTATACAGACATTTATATCCTTGTAACAACGATAAATCAAAGAAGAAATCAAATGGATCTATTAATCAACATCAATGTTCTATAACAACAATACACACCACAACAAATTATCCAGATAGTACTTAAAAGCTCACACAGCTTAAAATTAATGGTAATGGAACAAGGGAAGAATTTTTTATAAGTTCCAGTTGAGCCCTTTCAGCCACTTCCTTAACGATATTCCAGTTTTTCCTTAAAAAATGTAATGATAAGAATTACTTATATTTATAGAGTGTAGCTTCTATATGAATATACTCTACTGTACTTAATACAAAGCATCACATTACTACCCCTGCACGAGCTAACCGCCATGATAAGGCGCCAACAAATTCAAGGAATTTATTTCTTCCGGCTACCCATTTACTTCACCTGGATGGAGAGTGGCAAAAGGCATAAGTGCCGCGGCGGGAATAAACCACGGACCATGCGATCCACAGTCCGGACAGTGGTGATGTGTCCACTAGACCACGAAACCATTAATAAACATGGAAAATGCGTTTGTATGTGTTTTTATTAACCCATTGCTTACAAGAACCTGGTCGTCCCTGTGTTAAGCCTATGAGAATAAGATAATTCAGTAGTCAACGGTTTAACTTTAAAAAAACCCATTGCAAATCAATAATTGTGTTAATGATGTAAATTTCATTTCAGCGAGTTATCATTCCAGTTCATATCAAAGGCCTCTCAAATAAAATAAAAGCATTATCTGAGTTCAAACGCAAACTGAATAAACGTGTAATCTGAGTAATATATTTTACGTTATGCAGAACGTACCATTATGTTCAGCCAAATAAATGAAGAGCTTTAAATTAACATTCAATGGTGAAAGCCCTTGAGGGTGCAATTCTGCGTATTACGATCCATCCATGAATTTCTTTCAGGGCCCAGTTTCATAAAACTTGTTATCAATAACAAGTTACAAGCTACTGTTGAAAGCAACTGAAAACATGGCATCTAATTGGCTGAGAGCAAATTTGTCATAGAAATTTAGCGGTTGTTATTGATAACAAGTTTTATAAAAAACGGACCCCAGGGGTGTTGTGCTGCAGCCAAGATCACTCCAAGACAGTTATATCTCTGGATACAGAAGAAAACAAATTAAGTGATGATTATAATCGTGATGATGCAGCTACTTCTTGGAAAACTACTACTTCTACAACTAATACAACTACTGCTACTTCTACTATCTCCATTATGTATTTCTTTACCTACTACATGGTACTACTACTAATACTACTAATAAGGAGAGAAAGAAGAAGAAGGAGAAGTACTGAGAAGATGAAAAGAAGAAGAATAGGAAGAAGATGAAGAAGATGAAGAAGAAGAAGAATAGGAAGAAGATGAAGAAGATGAAGAAGAAGAAGAAGAAGAAGAAGAAGAAAAGGAAAAGAAGAGGAATAAGAGGAAGTAGAAGAAAAGGAAGGCTGAAGAAGGAGTAGAAGAAGAAGATGATGATGAAGAAGAAGAAGAAGGGAAGAAAAAAGAGGAAGAAGAAATTAAATGGAATAAGGAGAAGAAGAGAAGAAGAAGAAGAGGAGGAAGAAGAAGAAGGAAAAAAGAAGAAGACGAGGAAGAAGAAGAAGAATAAGAAGAGAAGAAGAAGGAGAAGAAGAGAAGATGAAGACGAAGAAGAGAAAGAAGAAGAAGAAGAAGAAGAAGAAAAAAAAAGTAGAGATGGAAATAGAAGAAGGGGAAGAAGAAGGAGAAGATGATGATGAAGAATGATAATAATAACTTTTCCTGATTATTAAGAACGAAAACACTAATGATTGCAATATAGTGTTGTTCTTGAATATTGAATAATTACATCCGTATGCGTTTAAAGAGAGCAGAATTATCATATGTATGATGGTGAGTTAGGTGTCTGGACATAGAGATTTATCTTTTGCCTTTAGATTTACGGCACATATTAATCAAATAGCACTCACCAGTCACCACCATGAATATATGTCCGGCATTAGTCTCAAAAGATTTATGAAATATTGCTTGTAAACTTCTTCAAATTTCTGTTTTAAATGAACTGTCCGAATACACAATTTAAGCACAATTAAAAATTTGTATGATGATTATTCATTATTCAAGTTCTCGATAGGGGAGGTTGTCTAAATCTGCAGTATTAACCCTTTGCCTACTGGAACATGGTGGTCCCTGTATTAAACCTACGGGATTGGATAATCCAGTAGTCAATGGCTTAATAGTAGGGACTTTTAGATTCGCACGAAGACAATGGGGATTGCTACGGTCGACGTCCTTTTAATGCACTCCCTTGAATGGACGTCACACGTATCAGTCCACGCAAATCTAAAAGTCCCTATTATTCGGGAAAGCATCACTTACTATATCGGTGCTCATCATTGGGGGAGAAACCCGGGTTCTGCATTCCTACTCCTCGCTCACTGCACAGATAATACAAACAAGAAAACAGAGTGGAATAGCATACAAATAATGAATGGTTATGAGTTCAATAGTGCGAATATGTTCATGAGTTGAAAGATTAACATTCTATTCAACGAGGCGTCAGCCGAGTTGAATAGAATTAACGTTAATCTTTCAACGAATGAAAATATTTGCACTATTAAACGAATGAAAAACATTCATTATTTGTTTTATACAACATCGAAGAAGACCTAATAGAACGTTAATCAACAAATTATGCTTTACTCCTTATAAAGATAAATTACAGTTCGAGTCAAGCCTTCTCAATTACATGCAGATTGCCTTCGCGTCAGATACACGCAGGGATACGCGCGCGCACATGCAGCAGAGAGATACGCAGTCTGCATATAACCAAAAATGCACGGCGCATATAACCAAAAATGCACGACCGTGCAATATACCATCTATTGAATATCATGTGACCAACAATCGTCCAATCAAATGACAAGGATCCACGTAGGTGTTGTATAATATACATATAATTTATTTGTTTACGAGTTTAATAGTGCGAATATTTTTACGAGTTGAAGGATTAACGTATTAGCAAGTACAGGGAATCGAACCCTATACATTGTTATTGTTTGGCATCAACCAGACAAGTACAGAGGCCAGTCACTCTATACCCCGTGATCCCGGTATTATGCGTAGCGAGAACATACAGGGAACTTAGTCCTGTAATACAAACATAGCAATTGTTCGTACGATTAATTTTCGCGATTAATTGCATTGATTCATATGTGCAATCAATCAAACCAAATCAATCATGCCATCTACACTTTAAGAAAAAAGGGTGCAAAAAAGAGTTTGCACCCTTGACATAAAAATGAACCTTATTGAAGGAAAAGGGGTTCAAAAAAGGGTGCAATATAAGATTTTGCACCCTTCCCACAAAAATGAACCCTATCGTAGTTTCAGTTTGGATATTCATCATGCTATTATGTTCTTATCATTTCATTTCTTTTGTACTCACTTCTTGATTTTTTTTCTATTTCCACAGCGCTTAGAGACTTGATTATAATTTGCGCTATAAAAAAAACTGATTATTTTTATTATTATTATTATTATCGACCAAAAAAGAGTGCAAATTAAAAGTTTGCATATTGCATGCATATTCATGATCACTTTTCACGCATACAAATACATTTATCATGATTTGTTAAGCAAATTTTGACAATGCACATCAATTTTGTGATTTGTATTTTCCTTCGGCATTATCATTAACCAATAGATTATTTTGTCTGATCATGTTACAATTACATTCACGTTTTAGCAATAGATATATTGATTATATGATTACTAACCAAAAAACAACATGAATGTGTAATATGTATTTGTGTACGAGCAAATTGCACCCCTAATGGAGCAGGATTGAACCGTTAAGGGTACTAACATGTCTCCTAAAAGGTGCGATCTGGTACCCTCCTTAAAGGGTGCAGGATTTAACCCCTAAAGGTGCTGCTATTGTTGCATCGGTTTGTACCCCTACTTCATAAATGAAATGCAGCCACATATAGCAGCGATGAAGTAGGGCAACACATTTACACGCAGCTATCTCTAATATTTCCATAATTTGATTTCATCTTTCACAACGCATTGACTCGTTTCTTGGTGATACACTGACTCCTCAAATTCCCTCTCATTACATTATATTAACGACATTAATACCCGCATTAATATCACTCGCCGTGTAAATTTCAGTTTCTAATTTCCGCACGCAGTAACAACTGTTGTGAATCGAGAAATAATGTTTGAAATGCCATACTTGTTTTCAAACTTACAACTCTTTTCTCCCGCCGTACAATTTTCTCATGAATCTTAATCGTAAACTTTATAGTCATTCCCCTTCCCTCTACACCGCGTTCAATTAGATGTACAGTGTACAAGTAATACATTTAGGATATTCTTTCTGCTGTGTCCTTGATTTTGATTGAAATAACAACCAACATGGCAACGACCTCGAGACCTGCGAAGAAAAGGAGAGTTTCTGATGAAAGCAGAAACTTTAAATCAGATTGGTCTCTAAAGTATTTCTTCATAGAAGAGAAAGGTGGACCACTTTACCTCATTTTCACCAGAGTATGTAATGGAGGTTAACAACATAGTAGAAAAGTGCAAGCCACAGAAATCACACTAAATATAAGCCTGATTTGTTTTTCTCACTAATCTTGTTGTTTGCTTGTTTGTTTTTGCAGAATTTCAGGTGTGTACACGTATTGCATGAGTGTGTGTGTGGGGGAGGGGGGAGACTAGCTACGGCCCGCCAAGTTATGCCAATCGTTAGCTGTGGCCCGCGAGCTTTAAAAGGTTGGCCATCCGTGCCATAAAGGGTACTAACATGTCCCCTAAAAGGTTCAATCTGGCACCCTTTTAAAGGGAGCAGGATTGCACCTTTAAAACGGGTGCAGGATTTAACCCCTAAAGGTGCTGCTATTATTGCATCGGTTTGAACCCATAAAGGTGCATAGTTGCACCATTTTTTTCTTAGTGTGTAGTGCTAAGCATTTTGTTACAGGGTTCAGAACCCTGCACCCAATTCATCTTACAAGCACAGGGAATCGAACCCTTTACCTTGCAATTTATTGGTACTACTCACGTATCCCTTGTGCCTTTTCCCCTCGAGTGCACGACGACGGCGATGACGATGAAGACGACCAGCATGACCACTATGACCGCAGCTACGGCCATGCCTATGATTGCTCCCTTGGCCAAGCCACCACCTACTTGGCAGGCAGACAAGGAAAGTATAAGAAGGGAACAGGTCAGAAGATGTTCAGTTTATGATGTAATCAAGTTAAAATATGTCGATTGATGTACTATTACCAGTTTCTTTTTTATGTAACAGATTATATCATGTTTTGTGTGGTTTTGAATAAAATGAACTGAATTGAAATTTATTTCAAAAGAGTTATACGTATAGTCTCTATATGCAAAGGTATGTACATGTTTGGAGTCATGATTGATATCTTTGAAAAATCATATTATGAATCAACTCGTAGAGCCTCGTCTAATTTGAAATGCCTTGGTAGGAATCTTTTTATTTGGGGAGTGGAATTCAACTTAAAGAATTGACTAATAGATCGTCTCCAAAAGAGAGTAATTCGATCATTTAATTTTTGGTGAATATTCCTTCATATTAGGAAGTGACCCTCTAATGTGATTCTTAAGATGTCACAACACCAATTCGAATGGCGGAGGGGGAGATGGTCATAATGGAAATTTTCCGTTGTGCCTTTAAAGGGATAAAGGATAAAATTGTTTCCCGGCAGGCAACATTAAACGAACAAATAAACAGCAAATACAAAATAAAAGAACAAAACACAAAACAAAGCGAAGGAAAATAAAATAACGACATGGTGTCACCAATTCATCGCCTTTAAAACTGGTGAGAAAATTCCCTAAATTATCTATCTGAAAAGAAAAAAAACACAGCAAAACATAAATAAAAACACCCACAAAATGTTGTAATGGATGGAGGGATTTGGGGCTCCTAACCCGCAGCGACGTCTCTCAATAAGCCCCTGCAAGGTCACTAACAGGTGATTATCTCATCAAATCAACTCTTAATTAACAGGAAAAGAGGATCATGGGGGACCAACGGGCACCAATTAGGCACTGTTTGCTATATATAGAGGGCGCAAGTAGCTGCAGGTAGTGCAGTGGGGCTTTAATCAAACCGAACTTACAACTTACCTGAACCTTGAAGTGAGGACACTGTCAAGGTATCCCCTTCGGAGGAGAGGACGAGAGTGCCGCTGGTAGACAGGTCTGCCGCATCCTCAGCCAGAGAGTCAGCAACATCTTGAGTGTAGGCATGAATCTCAATCTCCAACTCTGCGATAATGCTGCCAGGGCTGAAAGACGTGGCTTCACAGTCCATACCTCGAAGGTCCGATCCTAACTCTCGCCTAAGTTGATTCCCCATCTATTAGGAAATCAAAAATCAAATAGTAATAATAATAATAATAATAATAATAATAATAATAATGGTGGATTCGTATAAAGCCAAGTATCCTCTTACATCACCTGGGTTGAGTGTGGCAAATGTAGATCAATGTCTTGCCAAAGGACATTAGTGCCGCGGCGGGACTCGAACCGTAGACCTTGCGATCGACAACCCGGTGACAACACGACAGCTCTACACTGCAAACCTTATCATAATTATAGCCTTGGCCTTTTGTAGGTGACTCAAACGTTTTGCTCCATTATGTTGGATTCCCTGCTGATTAATGATATCCAAAACAGCAGGTTCATGTGTTGTTGCTGTTGTTTGTATTTTTGGCGTTCAGTCAAAATTGTTTGTTTAGTACTATAGTAGGGCCCCGGTGCACAAAACTTACCATTGGTACTTTGCCATCAATGGTAACTACCATGGGAACATTGATTTTGATTGGCTTTTGAGCCCTGTTACCATGGCAGTTGCCATTGATGGCAACGTTTCCATCAATGGTAAGTGTTATGTAACCGGGGGGTGTTTCATAAAGCTGTTCGTAAAGTTACGCATGACTTTACGAACGACTTGTATATGAAAAGCCAAATGGGATGCTCAATCATTCTTGATTATTATGTATTAAGTTGAACTGTGCAGATATAGAATAACATTCTTATTATAACAAACATTTTTAATGCAAAGTATATTTTTTGCCATAATTTAATTGAGGTTATTGGAAATATCAGAAAAAAAACTTTGGGCATCCTCTCTGGCACTTCATATACAAGTCGTTCGTAAAGTCATGCGTAACTTTACGAACTCTTTATGAAACACCCCCCTGGCCTACTACTGTATATGACCGACAAATAATATGTCGTTGAGAAAACTGTGCGCCTGTAGAGTTAGAATTATTACTTATGTTATTATCAATGTTTTGTCGTCGTTGTTTTCACTATCAATATTATCATTGTTTCAAACTTACCACTCCACAGTACAACGTTTCAAGCTCCTTGAAGCGAGAAGAAGCCTGGTTCTTCAGATCATCAGTGAACACAAGAATCTCTCCGTTTAGAGTCTCGCCCGTAAGCGTCATCGTTACGGTGCTAGTAGAAAGCTCTGGGAATCGGAAAAACATATTTAAAAAGTTCACTCTTGCATCAAATTTGGTTAAAATTTAATAATGATAGTCTAATCTACCTAGGAAAGCCTCATCAGCAACAGATAACACTGTTCTCTGTCAGGGTCCTCCCATTATTAAAATAATAAAATAATAATAGCTACATTTGCGCTCGCATCTATCCTATGGGCTGCTCAGGGCGCCGACGAAGTGTTAGCGAAGCTGCCCGAGGCGCTACAAATATTCAGGGAATAAATTCCTACCAGGTACCCATTTAGAACACCTGGGTAGAGACTGGCAAATGTAGATTAATGTCTTGCAAAAGGACATGTATATCTTAATAGACAAGGGTAGAGAGTTGAAAAAGTGGGTAAAACATATTGTCTAACGTGTTTAAATATATATGTAAGCACCGAGAAAGGCTCGAACCCGGGACCCCTCATATAAAAAACAATCCTCGAGGCTCGAGGAAATGATATGATAATATTAAGAAGAAAAGGATGAATAAAAATGATAATAATTATAATGATAATATTTAAAAATAAGCAAATGCTTGCTACACCTGGATTGGATTGGCAAATGTGGATTAATGTCAGCTGACTGAGATTCGAACCCTCAACCCTTGAATATATTTTACGCATACCTTTTTACAGAAGACTCTCTTGACAACTAAAAGAAAGAGGAATGTTTGGCCAACATAGCAACACTTAATGTATGCACAGTGAATTTCATCCACAGGGACTGACTGGTGACCTGTGTTGAGGGGAACTTTTATGTATACATTGAAATACATTAGTAATCCGGTCTACCGAGAGACAGGTGAATAAACTAATATACTTCGACATCTCAACAATAATTTAGACTCACTCGTAAAATCTGTCTTTAGTGCCTCGCAGACCCCTTCCACGCCCATGTATCCGGTGTAACGATAAATGGTATAATCGCTGATTTTAATCTGAAGGTTTTCAATCTCAAAGATTGGTTCGATGATGTCATCGATGGCGTCATTGAAGTACATGGAACACCTGTCGTTGTTTGTATAAATCTCAAAACTGCTCTCGATGATATTCCTGGCAAAAGTCTGACGCTCTTCGTTATCATCTCCTGTATAGATATACAAATATACAATTTCAAGATAAGAATATGCGTTTAAGAAAATGTATAACTATATTAGATGTATGACGAAATGATAAAGTATCACAAAATAAACGAACAACGAATTGTTGAAAGAAACCTCCATACCAATGCCTTCTATTATCCATTCTTCACTTCGACTCTTTAATTAAATAAATGATTACAACATGTATATACTATAAATGATGCCCGAATTAAAGACACCAGTGTAATTTTAGTTGAAGCTTGTTCTTTAGTTGGAATATCAGAAAACTCTAAAAATTAACGCCTTCAAAGCCTTTTGATATTCAGGAAGCAATTGTCAGTCTTTTTAACCCCCATGTTCATATAATTAGAAGGCAGAGTCACAATGAATTTCTTGACTCAAACCTGATTGGTTTCTGCAAACCAGCAAAGACAAACAATTGTAGTTTCTGCTCAATATAAGAAATGCGTAAAGATACAATCAGGCTGACAAGGTTGATAGGGAGATAGAACCCTGCAGAAACACTATACAGTATAAGGATATTTTGTCCAGTGTTCTTTTTTATTTTTGAAATAATTTACCGCATTAGCTCATGTAAGTTCGTTTGGCTTTTATTTTTGTTTTTTCTTCATAATACGTCACCTGTCACGGCTAGTACCCTGTCGATTTCTTGGCAGAGCGCTCGTCTGCTGTCATATCCTACAGCCTGGGATGCAATACGAGCAGCATTCTGCACAACGTGGTACCATTGCGAAGTAGAATCTATCCCAAACGACTCGAGTGTCTGGTCCCAATCTTCACATAGTAGAGCTGTCTCGTGTAGATCGACAACCAACAGCTTAGCACCAAATTCCGATATGATATCAGGTATGGACCTGTCCAGGAACTGGGCGATGTTTGGACAGATGGTAGACGGATCATTGATGTCGATGTTGTAGAGTTCTTTGGTGATATTCGCAATGATGTCTAGGATATACATGTATGGGTCTTCCTGTCTGCGAACCCTTTCACCAGTTCCCGGGCCGTAGATCAAGTCGTCGATCATCTTGGTTACGTCTTTACAGAATTCCGTCGCGTCAAATGCCTCCAAGTTACCAGCTGCTTCGCGGATCCTTCCGCAGACTGGCTTATAATCCCAGGAATCTTGAACATAAGACTTAAACTCGGGTACCATCGATTCGAGCTCAGGTAAGACGTCTGTGCATACAAAGGCAAGGGAGTCGATGAGTCGGTCTTGTTGCCAGATGCCACCAGCAGCACTCAGGAAGAACTCAACGGTCAATGTGGTCCCATAGATGAGGTGAACTGGAACAGGGTCTGGGAGGTCTATTTCATCTGAGATTAGAAATGATATACATGCCATTTTACTTATCGCCAAACGGATCAATCGATATAAATGAGCAACCAGAGGCAAGTAAGTTTCAATAAATTCTAATCCACATTGCTCATGAAGTGTCAAGTTATTTTGTATCATCATTAGCCCTTGACCAAACGCATCGTATGTTCTGTTTATTTTACGCAAACCTTTTGAACAACGTCACTTAATGATGGCGCCCCCCCCCCCCCAAACTGCGCCTGTCGTTGATTCAGTAATAAATACATCTTCATTTGTATTGCAATTAACCTATCCACGATGACTCTAAGCGTTTTTCTGATATACTACAGGCTAACACTCATGTTTCATTTTTGTAAGCAAATTATCTACTAAAAATTGAGCAAAGAATACCAAAGAAAGTACAGAACAATACAATGTGTACTACAAGAAGGGTATTACAGGTACGTAATGGTAATGGAATTTACGGCCTTATTGCAGGCAGCCGACGATCTGATCGAAATTTGTTCTGTGAGCGTTGTTTTAATGAAACGAACACAAAACATGTTTTCTTTACTCTCTCTTCTTCTCTTTGTTTTATAACATTATATGTTTAATATCATTACAGTTTATGAACTTACACGAGACAGCGTTCTCCATTGCTGTGCAGACAGCTGCCACTCCACCATCAATACCGGTATAAGCAAAAATCTCATCCTCCGAAATCACAAAGGCGTGTATGTCCATACGTATGAGGGGCTCGATGACCTGGTGAATGACGTCATTAGCCAATGGAGTACATTTGTCAGCCTCCTCCACGGTAGCGAAGATTTCGGAGATGATGTCCATGGAGAACGTTTTCCTTGCGGCGTTGTTATCTCCTGCAAAACAAACAAGAAGCAATACAAATTATGAGCACCATAATATCTCAAAGACTTTCGAGAAATCAACGTAAGGACATTTGAATACCACATAAGTTTGGCTCAAATAATCAAGTTCGGATAACATCCTTTTGCTATCATTATAATGTTCGCATATTTTACATGATGGTGAACGTGGCTATTGGAAAGTATCTTGTCTTTTGGGAAGTCTTTGGTATCACGTTGAGATCGGATCACTGTAGGATTAAGCCTATATACTGTACTTCGTGAAAACTATTAGAAATCGAGGACGACCCTGTCTACAAAACAGGGATCTATGTATCGTCCTTGACAGGACGACATCGGTCGATCAGTAAAACATGGTGACGTCACGCTGTAGCGGCACACTGTGTATCTGAGTGGTTTATTAAAAAGAGACCAATCGTTTGCTTGTTTTGTACCCTTGGCTTCCATGTCGGTATTATATATATAGCTAAACCATCAATATCATACATTCACTACTGTCAAAGACCAATGCGGGTTTAAATCGACATTACACTACAAATTTAGGAAAAAGCGACTTGTGAATGGCTTAGTCGAAGCGGAGAATAATTGGCCAGCATCATATTTAATTATAAGACTAGTTAACTATCATATGGGCCTTAATAACAAACTAGGTTTTTATATGTTCTTTAGTCGTTCATCACCCAACAATTATACAGTCGCGATCAACTGACATATCGTTTGTATGGAGCAAGGAGGGCCTTAACACATGTCCTCAGACACAGTTTTAATATCCTTCAGGAGTAACCAAGACGGATAACTGAATAGACACCGGTAGGCAAGATGAAATAAAAAGAAAATAAGAAGTCGATATTTTAGCAAACATTAAGTAAAATCAATATCTTACCTTTCACCGATAGTGCTTGCTCAAGATTTCGGCAAAGATCCTCTCTGTCGTCATATCCGACCGCCTGAGATCCGATACGAGCGCCCTCTTGGATAATGTTGTAGTAAGGCGACGAGGAATCGATGCCTTCATCTGCAAGGAAGCCTTGCCAGTCTTGACAGATCGGGGCTGCCTGGGGTAGAAGGGCACTCATCAGTTCCTCCCCGAGCTCAGAGAGGAGATCTTGAAGAGATGGCCTCAAGAAATTCTCCTTGACGTTGGTGCAGATGGTGTTGATTGTAGATAGGTCATCGATGATCATGTTGATGTCGATTCCATAGAGGTCTTTGGTGATTTTGGTCAGGATTTCAATGATACCCAGCGGATCATCCATATTTTCTGCTTGTCTGCGATATCTTCCGCCACTGTCCTGAGATATAATGCCATTGACCACAGTAATTATGTCATTACAGAATCCCGTTGCGTCAAAGGCATCCAGATCTTCAGACGCTTCGATGACTTTATCACAGACGAAACCCCAATACAGACTTGACTGGTCCACTTCCGGTACCGCCGAACCGACTACCGGTAGGACACCTCTGCAAGCATAGGCCATCGAATCAATGACACGATCCTGCTGCAAGATACCACCAGCAGCGTTGATCATGAATTTGATGGTCAAACCAGGAAATATCTCTCCCGGGTTCTGGAATGGCTGGAATGGCTCGTCATACCCTGAAGCCATGGCAACAAGTATTGAGATTGCGAAAAAAGCAAACGACCTCATTGTTGGATCGTTTAACAGCTGGCCTAATATAAGGTCGATCGCACCAGTCGAAATCGAGATAGTTCAACGTTTCAAGTCCTGTAAGTACATAAATATATAGAAATGAATTGCGAGAAATCAAGTTATGCTCAGACTTACCACAGCATTAAATATACTATGTCCCTTTTGCAGCCAACATCAAATTCTGTAGAACTTTGCAGGAATTATGAATATGTCATGTATGTCCTATCTGTGAAATTTAAACGTAAGCAGTGTCCTAATATTCAAATTATGCAGGGAAACCCGTTTAATTGCTAGACTTTACTGTTAGACACTATGGAGTGACAGACTGGCTTTCTTCTTCTTTGGTAATAACATACATAAAATGAGCTGTCAAGGGTACATGAGCATTTGTCAACATCGATAACCAACATCTTGTAATGGCCAAAATTAAACTGATTGAATCCTTGCGCAGCGTAAAACGTACGACCATTCGGTACAATGGTCTGAAAATCAGACTATACTGGCTCTATAGCTCTTAAGTCGATTCGAAAACTAATTCCAGTTCAACATTAGTATTATCTTTCAAATGCCGTTGGAATTAAACCTTTACATATGTTTGGCCTGCAAATGAGGCATAGTACCCTTAAATACTAACCTTTACAAAACCCATAGGCCCGTATGCTATCCTAACTCGAATAAAAATGGGCCTAGGTCTATCTAAATCACGTTTAACAAATTTAAACTTTAGACGTCAGAAAGACTTCCTTTTTTGGAGGCATCGTTTAACAATGTTAAATCTGAGATGCACGGCACTATGTGTAATCAGTGTCTGTGATATGGTGTAATATTGAAGCCCTAAAAAAATCGCGCTTCAAAATGATCAAGAAGTGCCTCAAAAAAGTAAAAATCTTTGAGTAACCGGTTTTTACCATACTTGTTTTCCCCAATAGACTGTATTTGTAATTCCAATCATAAATATCTTGATAATCAGACAGGCGATCAGCTTGTAAAAATCATGGGGTTCCTGACTGACATAAAGGTTTATGATTATCATTGCAGCATGAGCTAAATACAGGATTTTGTTTAGAATCTGAGACAAAGTTACCGGATCCCTTTAAATCCGATTTTGTTTAAAAGCATACACCCAGCATCGGGTATCGGGCCAATGTCAGATCATGGTCATGTAATATAGATACAGAACAGGGGGAGGGGTGTTTCACATAGACTAAGATTAACTTTAAGTTGGACTTAACTATGACAGGCAGTTCATGCCACTGTTTGCTCTCACCATTATGATCTTTAGATATTACATATTCCTTCAATAATGAATTATCAAAAATGTAAATTCTGTTAAGAATCCTTAAGAACCGCAATTTAAAAGGAAGAGAGAAAAACGGAAAGGAGGATATTGAACCATCGTAAGGAAAATTAAGAAATATAGATTATATCAGAGAAGAAAAAGAGGGAGAGAGACCAAGAGTAAGAAAGGGGGAGGGAGACAGATAGGGAGAAAGAGAGTGAGAGAGATAGATAGAGATAGGGAAGAGATTGAGGATAAAGAGAGAGAGAGAGATGCAATGGGAAAATTAGTAGATGAGATAACATGTGGACAAAAACTGAAGTAATAAAAATTGAATAGAGAAGAAAGAAGAATGACAATTTGAGAAATACGCAACCCCTTGACTTGTGCAGTCGATTCCGGAAGACGATAGGTACAACCATTCGAAACGTCGATATAGAGCTTGAGTGGGCATTTTCAGAGATAAATAACCCTGTCGAAAGAATATGTGATGTAACCGCATACCTCAATCAAATATGAGAATGAAATGTACAAATTTGAAGGACCAACACAAAGGGAATATCCATACGTTTCTGACGTCACCATCTACTGTTATCGGTCTCGCGACCTTCGACTCTGTCTGCACAATGAGTGCAAGCAGGAGAGAGGAGAGAATAGAAGAGTAGATTAGAGAAAAAAGAGAAGAGAAAGGAAGGGAAGGAAGAAAAGAGAAGAGAAGATAAAATAAGAGAAGGGAAGGGAAGTGCAGGGAAGGAAGAGAAAAGAAGAAAGAGAAGGGAATAGAAAGGAAGGAAGTGAAAAAAAGAGAAAAGAAGAGAAGAAAATGGAAGGGAAGGGAAGGGAAGAGAAGAGAAATGAAGAGAAGAGAAGATAATAGTGAAAATAAAAATAGGCAATACAAAATAGGCAATACAAAATAGGCAATACAAAATAGGCAATACAAAATAGGCAATACAAAATAGGCAATACAAAATAAGAAAGAGATGGATTACATGTTCAGTGATAATGCCATTATTATCAATCCATTTGAATTGACCCAACCGGGTTCTTAGCTGGCAAATTAGGAAATAAAAATGAATATTTACATGTTTTGATAAAAGTTCATACAAAATGTTAAAAAATTGATATCATCAAATCAAAAAATCAATATGGATTTGGCTGCATATCAGGCAAAATGGGCTGAAACTTTGGACATCAAAATATATGCACCTTGTTTAGTAACATTAACAACATAGTGTGGGGCATTTGAGTTATAACAATCGGGTACTTATTAACATATGAATTTTCTATCATAGCCAATGTTCATTTGCCTATTTTGCGAATTATGTTTATTATGTGGATCTGAAAATATAATTTCATTCACTGACATTAAGACATCGCTTTATACACAAAGACCCTTTAGAGTTGCCACATTATATGCACATTTATTTGGGAACATTAATATAAAATGTCTAACATGACAATAGCTAATGCACATAGTATGTAGATTGTTATACTTTCCACTAATATTGTCCTCTACAATTTGTTATTTCTTGGCCATCTTCCAATTAATTTACAATGGCCATGTTTTATTTGTGTCCTTTCTATTATTTTATAGCAAAAAACCAACAACTAAAATGTCTACAATATCCATGTTTTCAGGCGCATGCGCTCTTTATCCATGTGCGGGAGATCTGGGAATAACCACTTTTAAAGGTGTAGCCCAGCATAACGTCGAATTAATTTCGACAAATGTAGAAAAAACTAACGGAATAGTAATTGAAGTAGGAGAATTTAGACAAAAGATTCATGAAGTATAGAATAAGTAGCTCATTTATTTTATAGATCCATACGAAATTTGTCATATCTTGGCCATCTTCTAAATCTTTGTTAATGGTAAATGTTTTACTACATGTAAACTGGTTCATGCAGATGATACTGCGGGGGAGGCGTGGGGCGTGACGCAGGTGAATGCGTTTGCGTGCCTTGGGGCTCTCTAGCTGGGAGCAGGCGTGCATGGGTTTGAATGCATGTTGGAAACTGGATTGTGTCCTTGGCTGCGGCCTACATATTATTGTATACATTACTGTATATTCAATAACCTTGTTTAATGACCTCAATATTTTAAAGTGATTATCGTGTCATTTCTGTGGTAACAAATTAATTTGTTTGCTTTAGTTGCTATTTTTGCTTGTTTCACGTTGTATATCATCTTATGTCAAGGCTTCTTGCCCACCTATTATTATTGTTACGTACTTCACCATTACAACCACTCCAATCAAATGTTAGTTTTATTTTTAAAGGAACCTATAATCTACAAGCTGAGCTTTTTAATAGGTTCCTTACATTTCACCCTGTATAACCTTCTATTCAATACAGTTATTGTCGACGTCTTTTCAAAGAATTAATTATATAATGTGACACTTTTAGTATATTTCATATAATGTTCTAATCTATGTGAATTCTTTTTTGTGAAATGTGAAACAAATAAACTTGAAACTTGAAACTTGAAGAAGAATAATTCGAGTGATTTATTGATGAAGGGTAAATAAATCAAAAAGTTCATCACCATCTACAGAATAGAACGGCATGTCAGCTAAGTGGGCCATAGAAGTACAGGTAAATCTCAATATGATATTGCATTTCCGGCTTTGGGTTTGTAGCAATAAGCAAGCAATAAAAGGTGATAGTACAGTCTTGCATGGAGACACATTAACAACAGTTTTACAAGTGAAACCAGTACAGATACAAAAACACCTGAATACAAAGAACAGGAAGCTGACACCATACACCAGAAGAGGGATTGAAAGAAGAACTAATTGACACGATTAAAGAAAGAAAAAGTACATGTACACGGAAGTATTCGTAGGCAGGGCGAGCGAACGAGCCAATGAACAATGGCAATAGTGGAGCATATATCTGAGCATGAGCATGTTCCTGGCGAGATGCCCAATAAATATGATGGTGCATGATATCAAGGAGGAAATACACGCAATGTAATTAGATGCGCTCATACCAATATGTGAAAGTATTGCTGGTGGTTGTTATTATACCTGACTGCTAAGTCAGCATAAATGCTTTTAAGAAAGCAACCAGACGGCCAACGGCTTTAGGTCCTCTCCGAGGGACCTGGTAATAAGGATTAATGCCTTACCAAAGGGCACTAGCGAATCGCCTTTGGCTTTGAACCCGGGTCACCGGATTACGAGACCACTGCTCTACCGACTGAGCTATCGCGCCTTCTCAAGTAAACAAGCTACAGTAATGGAGAGCATGATATTACTGATATTTTGAGACATAACAATATTAAAGACCATCAGTTAATTCACTGCTTTTAGTACCGATTCAAAACACATGGGGAAATTGAATACAGGTGGATAATACCAGTGTCACATTTATTTTCTTTCTTTTGATTAAACATGCAATGAATAAGAACAATGTAGTAAGAAATATTGACTAAAGAAAAGGGGAATTGAGAAAAGTATAAACGAGACAACGCGAAATATGTTTCTCAGTTACTGTCCATACGATATTATTCACGGCTAACAAAAATAACAAACAACCAAATTTGCGTTTATGTCGTGGCTTTATTAACATTTTGAGATGGACGCTTATTTTGCACATTTTGATTTTCTGGGTGTCATAACAAAATAACACAGATATATTGAATCATAAAAAAATGCTTACAAATGCAATGCTAGGCCCCCCGCCTATGAAATCGAGTGATGCCTAGGCTAAACTTATATACATTAAGTCATTATATCAGCCCCCGCCTATAAAATCGAGTGATGCCTAAAGTTATGCTCCGCCTACGAAA